AAGGAGACTGAGGAAGAGCATGACATGATATAGACTCTGTATTTCCAGGAGGAATGGGGAGGCTGGTGCAGTGTAATGTGGAAGTGCTTAATTTCTTTTAGGTATAACAGTCTTGTCATTGGGGAAAATGCTATAAATAGATGATATTATGCTAAGGAGATTGGACATTGTGCTAAGGGAATTGCTTCGTCGTCTGTAGAAATAATCTTTAAGCAAAGACTATTGTATAATTCTGTAACTGCAAAGTCATTTCAGTTGACCAGAAATAGAAATAAATCAGATGTAATAAAAATAAACACTTAGGCAATATTTTTTTTCTTCATTTTTAATGCTCTCCTGTAAGAGAAGTCACAACTTAATACGCTATTCATGGCCATTTAAAGAAGTTTGAAAGTAATACTTAATCTTTGCAACTTTCACAAGCTGTTACGTAAGCTGCTTTCCTGGCACTATGCAAAGCATCTGTCCTCCCTGCATCAGTTTTATGGTGGTGGTTGTTGTGCTCACACATTAAAGGAGTCATTTAAATAGTCTAGAGGGGCAACAACCAGTGAACTTTAGTTGATTTTATTTGCCAATGCAAGATCTTTGTGATCACAGCATCACAGAACAGTTGGGGGTTGGAAGGGACCTCTGGAGATSTAGTCCAGCCCCCTGTCATGGAATGAGTGGTGGTGGGGAGTGAGTGGCAGAATGCACTTCGCTCGTGTGAAATAAATAGCACCAGGTTTTATTGATATGGATAGTGATTTCATGAGATTCTTTGGCAGGGTCACTTATTTTTACTGCATGGACGTTCAAGATACACACAGAATTATCAAAGACACCTTCCCTTTGAGTCACAGGGTTCAGACTGGCCTGGGAAGATGCTGGTATTGACTCAAATATTGAGTCATCATGAAATCTTTCACAGGTGACCAAATGTAGACCTTAGAATAATCCTGTTATGGGTCAAGTTTTTAAGATGTRTTTTGCTAGATAATTTGATGATGTGTCTTGAAGACTTGCCAGGCACTATGCAGATATTTTACTTTTATGCTTAATAAATACTAATTCAAAGTTTTGGTGCATGTAACCTACATAATGTAGATTGATAGCATATAGAAATTGCACATTTAGTTAAATTGTACCGAAACAAGCTTAGGTCACTGTAATAAAAGTCTACATTACCATGTTTTTCTATGTGTGGTCTGGAGTAGCTCAGAAACCATCCATGCAGTTTACATTTATGTAGATGGTGAGTGAATAAATGGTTTTATCAAAAGTTTTCTGATTTCTTGCAGCAGGTGAAGCCACCTACAGGGCAGAGCAATCCCTTCCTCCAGGCTGGGAATACCTGAGGTGGGACAAGAAGAGGAGATCATTTGTACTTGCCCTGAATCATTATGTAGGAACTCCCACAAAACATACTAGATTTTTTTTCAGCTCACTCTTAGCTATGTCTCTGGTCTGTACTTCAAAGCATAAAAATTATATTTCAGGTTAAGAATTTAGGATAAATGGAATCTTGTTTGTAGTTGACAGATAAAGAAATATTTATTTATGCTTCTAAATGGCAGCCATGCTGAGGAAAATACAATCTCAAGCATAGGTTATTTTTAGACAGGTGAGCTTAAAGGAAGTTTTTGAACAAAGATGTGCCAGCTGAGCTGGGTCAACAGTAATGATTTCATTGCCTGCCTAGAAAATGGATCAAAAAGTGAATYGATTATTTCAGAAACTGCACAAGTTTGTGCAGCAAATCCTTAAGTTTGAAGCTATTATCTGTACATGCTCCTACAATCTTGGACAAGAAATTGCCTGATGACTGTTTAAAAGAGGTGTTAAACCACTATATCTTTGAATTTTGCAGAGTTGGAGCTAAGCGAATTTTGCAGAGTTGGAGCTAAGCTGGTGGTCAGCCAAGAAGCTCGACAAAATTGCTATAGCCACTTTGCATAGTGGTTAGATTTAAATCTTCTTGTACTGTAAGGAACAGGCAGATAAAAAATTGCATGACCGTATAAAGATAGTTACCCTGAAACATGCAAGTTTTGTAAAAATGTGAACCTGAGTTTGCAGTGCTCGGAAGACCTTGTCAGCAAATTATTTTGCCACCCTAATTSGCATGCTGAATATCCAGTTTGATAACGGAGTGGAAATGTCAGAAAATGGAATTCATGGAGGGCCTGATTCCATGCCCAGATGCTAATCTGCAAATCTGACAAATGATATAGGCAAAGTAGCAGGCCAAGTAACTCTGTGATGACCTGGTACATACGTTCTGCAGGAAGGCCTCAGAAACAGCGTTTGTAACTTTTCCATGGCATTGAATTTGTGTTCAGCTTTATCTAGTTGATGACTGAGGTATATATAAATATTAATACATGATATGTTCAGTGAAATGCCCATATGGTCTCTCTGAGAATGCGAGTTATCTGGGGGTTATCTCCTTTCCAAGAATAAGGCCTTGCCTAAATTAGAACAAGATGTAAAAGCCAGCAAATCTGTTTATCCCTGTAACTTTGTCAGCAGCAAGTAGTCCTGTGCKAGATTTGGTCTGTTGCCTCACGTGTTCCGCTTTGCAAGGCCCTTAGAGTATCTGACACAGGAGATACCTATTAATGGATTGTCGTAGGAAGTAATTAACAGCGACAGCAGGAAGCTGTTCCTGTGGGAAATATCCAGGAATATTACAAATTCATCAGGTCGGTGGAACCTGGTGAGATGCCTGCCGGGAGCGTGGAGGGAGCTGGCTGGTGCCAAGCCAGCCTGGATGGCCTGGCTGATCTTTGTAACCTCTGGAGTGACGGGAGGTTCCTGAGGGCGGGAAGGAAGAAAATGTCAGCCCTGTTGTCAAGAACAACACATTAGACTAAAATAAAATGTCAAAAGTTCTTACAGGGCAGATAGTTACTTCTTTATTTTTTTTCCCCCAAGCTTGGAATTGTATCTTGAGTTTTCATCTTTTAGAAGTTTTCTACTATAATGATGATCTAAGAGATTGTAGTTTTGAAGTTGATTTCCTGAAATAGTTTACAAACAAGGAATTTATAAGGAATTAGAATGATGCTGTAAAAACTGATGTGCAGGATGACTGTTCTGCACATACTCTGTTTTATTTTGTTCAAGGACCCTGTATAGCAAGCCCACCGTATCAATTTGGAGGAGCAAAATAAGTTGCAAGTGGCACCTCGCCACCTCTTCTTTCATTTTTGTGAGTTGCAAACATGTCTAGTTCTACCTTGATGCTTTCACTGGCAAGAGGCCTTGCTGTAGAGGGGGATTTTTCTCTCTCCATTTTGCATGCTTGCTAGAGTAACACAGCTAAGGGAAAAGAAMGTCTCCAGCAGGTCGAGGGAAGTGATCATCCTCCCCCTATACCCAGCCCTGGTGAGGCCACCTCTGGAGCACTGTGTCCAGTTCTGGGCTCCCCAGTACCAGAGGGGTGTGGAGCTGCTGGAGAGAGTCCAGCGCAGGGCTACCAGGATGATCAGGGGCCTGGAACATCTGCCCTGTGAGCAAAGGCTGAGAGAGCTGGGCCTGTTCAGCCTGGAGAAGAGGAGGCTGAGGGGGGACCTGATCAGTGTCTATAAATACCTCAAGGGAGGCAGTGAGGAGGAGGGGGCGGCCTCTTTTCAGTGGTGGCCAGCGACAGGACTAGAGGAAACGGCCACAAACTGAGGCACCAAAAGTTCCACAGGAACTTGAGGAAAAATGTCTTGACAGTGAGGGTGACAGAGCCCTGACACAGACTGCCCAGAGAGGCTGTGGAGTCTCCTTCTCTGGAGATCTTACTGTTACTGCTCTACTACTCACAATAAGAATATATAATACATGCCCCAAAGAGCATGCAGATGAAATGAAACAGGAAATGGCCTCAAAAGATCAGGCAGGATTACAAGAAACTGATGAGAAGACCATGTTTCCCAGCCTGTTTTCAGGAYGTGTGGTTAGACATGTTACTATAAAGCTTTTCTGCTTACTGCAGGAGTTGCTCTCAGAATAAAATAATGAGTTAGGTAATAAAAGCAACTTCTGTGGGCATTTAGGCAAGTGATGTGAAAAGTACAGCTCAAGTTTTCAGTGAGCACAACTGTTAAGAGGGTGTTAATTTTCCAGCAAACTAAGCAATACATCCCACAAGGACCAAGATTTGCTTTTCCCTTAATTTTACTGCTTACTCAAATGCTCTTTATTAAGCAACTGCAACAGACCTTCCTCTGTGTTTTGCACAGAAGGGGGAAGGGGTCCAAGGTGATGGGGGAACAGTGGCAAGATCATCACAGTCTTTGCCTTTATCTTAAGAAATTCGCTCAGAGGTTGGAATTTTAATGCAGGTCTTTGTATTAGTGTTCTATTTTTCTGTTCTTATATGTATAGTCTAATTTTTCTTTATTTTATGCTTATTTTTTAAGTTTTTTAAGAGTAGATATACCATTTCGTAGCTCCCAATTGTGTTACCTACAGATATACTACAAACATACTGACATGTGTGTATATATGTATATGTGTAAATGCCAACATCAAGTTTTCAGTATTGCAACATCATTTGAACTATAGGACTCATTGACTGTGCAGGAAAAATATTGTTTTGTGTTACAGTATGGGAGACATGTATAAATGCAAATGTTCAGAATATTATTATAGACTGATACTGTGAATATATGAAAAAGGAAGCTTTTTGAATGATCCACTCTTGCACATTWACTTCAGAATTTTGGCATATGTTTAAAACAATTATTGCTTTAAAGGATATTTTTGGTCTTACTGTAATGACATCCTTTCCTGATGTGTGTGTAAAATWTATATGTGCAAGTCGATATAACGTAAAAATTGATGCTAACACTAAGCAACTTCATATTCCCTTCCCTCTGTTTTAATGGGCTTGGAAGACTTACGTTCATTACCCAGTATGCTATTTACAGAGTAGCTAGAAATGCTAGCAAAGCATGTAAGAATATAAATATATTTTTTTTCTTTTTTTTCTTTTTTTTTTCTTTTTTTTTCTTTTTTTTAAGTTTGACAAAGGATATGCTTACAGCATCCGCCACAACTATGGGAAAGAAGGAAAGAGAAAGGATTATACCCCGTACAGCTGCATGAAGATCATCATGACCAATCCACCGAGTCAAGGCGATTATCATGGTAAGTTCCTAAACAAGCAGTTTCAAAAACAGTGGGAATTACTGGGCTGGAGAAGAAAACAAAGGTTTCTTAGGATTAGCTGAAGAATGAGGGCAGTCTCTCTTTTCTTTTCTCATACCTCAAGGCAGRCAGTGATGGGGCGGCCCCTTTTCAGTGGTGGCCCCTGATAGGACTAGAAGAAAGGACCACAAACTGAAGCACTAAAAGTTCCACAGGAACTTAAGGAAAAATGTCTTGACTGTGAGGGTGACAGAGCCCTGGAACAGGCTGAACGTTGTGCAGTCTCCTTCTCTGGAGGTCTTCCAGACTCGCCTGGATGCTGCCCTGTGCCCCGTGCTCTGGGTGTCCCTGCTGGAACAGGGGGGGTTGCACTAGATGATCTCTAGAGGTGCCTTCCAACCTCAACCATTCTGTGATTCTGTGATTGGTTTTATTCGATGAGCAATATCAGGTGAGACAAAATCAGTTTTACACTTAAAGCTTTTTTTTCCCTTCCTGCCTTTACTCCTACTTTGGATGTAAGAAAACAGAAAGGAGTATTACTTTTAAACTTCACTGCCAACCTATCTAATTCAATCTATTAATTTTTAAGCCTTTTGTCTTCAGAAGGTTAGATCCCTGTTGTTCTTTTAGATTCTTAACTTCTGCTTGCGGAATAACGTGTTGCCTTTGCAAATTTGTACGTTAGCCAGTATTGACACATCAGACTCCTAGAGTCTTCTGCATGGAAGTTTCTTCTCTGAAATCATCAGTTCTATAGCCATACCTGAGACAACTCAGGTACTGCCAAGGGAGACTTAACATGGACTATAATTCCCCTGCCATTCTGGTTTCTGAAGAAGTAAAGCTTAAGAAATTTGCTTTGCTATGATGGGGTAATGATGAAAGTTGTGCTGTTYGTCCCTTCACAAAGAAACAGTCATAATCATGCCCGTGTAATATGCGCAGTATTTGAGTTTTATCTTTTCTACTGAAATCATTTTTCAAAAGTTCTGTTTGAATGCAGAGAGAAATTTTACAGGAGTTGTATTTGGAGTTTACTTCTGATTTTTTTTTTTATCTCACAGCAAGCTCATGTTTTTCATAAATAGGATGGTGTTCCCTTCAGAAATTCTCTGGAGGAGTTTTGGATATCAGCTGTCATTGTCACTACTTCTGTAGTCTCTTAAACTAAATACTTAATTTYAAGACAGCAGTGGCCTTGTTCTGGTGTTTTACATAGCTTTTGATAGCTATTTGATAGCTTTTGACTTAATATGTGTTGTGACACCCAGTACAAGGAGACTTAAAAATGTAGATACTTTAAATAATGATCAATTAGAGGTTAGGGGATTCGAGGCATAAATTCACTGAAACTGATACTCAGAAGTCTGCTAGGGTATTCTAAAATATCTTTCTGCATTAAGAAAACATGCAAAACCGGCACTGATTTCACCATATTCATTCAGTTGTACCTAAAAACTAATTCTGAGGATCCCAAAACCACTTGTTTTAGATACTTTAAAGAGCAGCTGGCTCCCATTACTTCATTTTTGCTGCTCATTGTATTGTGCTCTTACTGAATAGTGGCTTAATATGCCATAGTTATTAAACTATGTTATTAAACGTACCAGTGCTGTTGTAAGCAAGGAACTAACTGAAACTCTTTTCCAGGTAGCTGTTTGTGCTGGGATATTTTAGGGAACTCTTAAGTCTATTATGCAGTGGATAATTATTAAATTATACATTAAATGATAACTAAGCAATGGAATAATTATTAAAAAAAAAAAGCTCTTGTACATATGAACAATTACCTTTCTATTAGTAAGCTGTTAGACAATTAGAAGCAGCTTGGTTGGTCTCTTGGGTGCCTTTCTGTGCTAACTCCTGGGGAAAGAGCCTTGCCTGTGAACTCGCCTGCCTTTCCTGCCAGGGTGCCCGTTCCGCCACTGTGATCCCGAGCTGCTAAAGCAGAAGCTGCAGTTATACAGAGTGCCTCAAAGTGGAGTAAATCAGGTAAGGTATACTTTGTTTGGAGCTTCCTGTAATTTTTTCAGCTATTTTTAAAAAACTTTTCATTTTTACTTTATGTAAATGTCTGTGGTTATGTATATATATGTAAATGTTACTTATGATTTCTCAGTATGCAYGTGAAATCTTTCCTATAAAAGGTTTAAACCAGAATCATAGCCACCATGTAGTTCATGTTGGTGTTTGTCATCGGGCTTATTTAATATTATGGGTTGGTTTGTTACTATAGYGTGTACAATGCAGGATTTCATTGTACATGCTATTTCATACTCATTCTACTTTATTAATAAAGTTTAATCGATTATGGCAATATTTCAGGGAGTTTATTTTAAAATTTTCTCCAGAACTGTAGAAGACACTACTGTGTCTTCAATACATATAAGCCACTGTTTTCTGTAATATGTTTCTTTAAAAAGAATTAATTACCCTTTGTGATAACTTTCCATAAGCAGTAAAAGGACATAAAGTGTAATTTAGAGGTTTCAGCAGATTTTAAAAAGGGAACATAAAAGTGAAAACCTAGTTTATGCAGAAAAGGCATAGAACATTCTGGCATGTACACCAAAGGACAGTGACTGCTGTTAATTGTTGTAGCAAAAGGATAAGTATATGAAAAAAACATTATTCTCCTCACCGGAGAAACACAAACAAGTAAGAACTTAGCTTGAGACTGTTGAGCAAAAACTAATCAAGTGCACTAACTGCCCGAGAGCTATTTTAAATCTGTTGGAAAACATTTCTTTTTCAATGCACATGCAATAGCACTGCCGCTGTTAACAGTGAGGGTGACAGAGCCCTGGAACAGGCTGTCCATGGAGGTTGTGGAGTCTCCTTCTGTGGAGATCTTCAAACCCACTTGGATGCCGCCCTGTGCCCTGTGCTCTAGGTGATGCTGTATGTGCAGGGGATGGGACTAGATGATCCCTAGAGGTCCYTTCCAACCTTAAGGATTCTATGATTCTCACTCCTATGTTAYTCTCTGTTCCCTGGAAATCAATCCTATCATGGAGAAGAACCAGCTAACTCTGTCTTTTGCATTTTTTTTAGCCTGAGTATCTTTTAAGAAATCACACCAAAGTAGAACCGTGTTAAAGAATGGCCAAAGAAATTGAATTTGCCAAACATAATGGTGTTCAGATACCACTGTGGGTGATGTGGACTCCAGTTTCTCTGTTGTTTAAATATGACTTCTGACTATACTGGAAGCTATTTGCTTTTGGGGATAAGTTGTCATAAATAAAGAGAATACTTCTCCAGGTGAGAAATGATTTGCAAAATGAATCTGTCTTGGGTATATTGAGATAAAGTTTCTGACTTTCTGGAGGTGGCTTTTGGGATGAGATTCATCTCACCTAAATTTAAGGGTGTGCAAAGGTAAACATTCACACCTTGGCCAGAATGCATTTTGAGTGCCCCGAGACCTTCTTCAACCTTCCTGGGCAATCGGGTAAGATTTCTGGCCCCGACAGGCCACAGCTCCTGCCACAGGTAACTCTCTACATGGGGTGGCMGTGTCCTGGTGGAACTTAGGACACTTCAGTGCATGCCCAACTGTTTGCATCGTTTSCCTCATCATGCTTATAGATCAGGGGATCTTTCTTTCATACGACACCTCGGGAAGCTGCTGTGTGAAGTCTGAGCAAAAGCAACTCAAACTGTTCATTTAACCACCTGTTTCCCAACTTCATTATCCTTGAYGGTGATACCAAGGGAGTTATGGGACTCCCTGCAGTTGTGACAGGTGTCAAACCATCTGATTGTTAGACTTCTGCTTTCCAGGTTAGTAGTGATACATGGTTTTTTCTGCAGTTAAGAAGCTTACTTCAAGAAGGTGGAAGCTCAAGACTCGCAGTTCCCTGCTGAGTGCAAAATCTGGAAGTCTGATTGTTAGGAAATGCACCAGGCCTTTCATTCCCCCTTTTCCGGCAGTAAATGAATTCCCCAGTAAGTTAATCATGATATAAACCTCAAATCTTAAGATATACGAGGTACCATTGCACATTTGCTACCAAGAAATGAAAGTGTAGTCCTTTAATTTAAAAATTATAAATCCCTTGAATATTTTCAAATGGTAGGTTAAGAACCATTGTTCACCWTCCAAAATCTTTCAGGCACTTATTGTCTGTGCTATATTGACACCTGTAAATGCTTGAAAATGATACAACCCTTCAAGGTGCATGGTGTGAAAGTTTAACAATACCATTATTTCAAGAGCACCTTTTAGAAAAACGTCTTTAGCGATCTTCTGATGTATGGCTAAATATGAATGTTAAAAAATGCCAAGAATTTCCCATAGTTGAGAAATATTTATTGATAGACGACACTATTCAGTCATTTCAATATGTTGAGAACAGAAGTTGTGTTTTAGGAGCATTGCTCTCCCATTTKATCTGAGATTACTATCTGATTTACTATATAAATATATTTKTTGACATAGCACTTTGCTTAGTATTTCTTGGCCAAATTGTGTACATTGTTTAATTGTTCTCTGCTTGGTTTATTTTTCAAGCATCACCATGCTTATTSATTTCATTAGGACTGCCCTTGTGTGTAAGCTAAGCTGATAACTGTGAGTTTAATTGGTCAATACTAAGCCTTTCTCTGTCTTAATAAAACCTCTGTAAATTCTGGTCAATGTTCAATATAATGTCTCTTGATCAAATTCAATGGTGACTTTTTTAGTGTGTGTTTACTGGTTCTGTGGTGTTGGTATTACTGACACCATCTATTGGAAGAATACTCTAAAGCAGCTGCTGATAYGAAATGGTTAGAATTAATTATTTGAAAAGTTTCAGTGATAGCATTTCAGGGTACTCAATTCTCCYAGTCCTCAACTTGCTGCTATAAGCTGAAGCAAATAGATAGGAAATTATTACGGATATTGGGCTATTGTCAAATGAGATTGTAATGATAAGAAAGCTGGTTGATTTAATGAGTAGACTTGTTTGAAATTCTGGTTTAAGCACTCCGGTAAGAACAAATGTTGAACTTCTAGGGTAATCAATTGGCTTGTGGCACTGAAACAAGTGAACAACATGAGAGAGAAGCCTGGAGAATGCAAGAAGTACACAGAAATATTGAAAAGCAGAGCTATTTTTTTAAGAGGTTGGAAGAAAACCCATGTCCTTCAGTATATGCATCTAGATTTTATATTATAAGGAACAATTGAAAACATAATAAGTAGGCAGTCAGTTGAAAACTGTTAAAGGTTAAATTGGAAAAGAACTTCAAGTTTGCATTTAATATTTGAACCACAATAAGGATGTAATAGAAATGTATGGTTGAGTGCTATTGCTTTTTCAATAATATGCCTTTTAGAACAAGATGAGATGAAAAGGAGAAGCAGAGGTGAATTGTATTAGTTTGGATATGCTTAATTTAGGGCATTTCCTTCAGCAGTTGATTAGTGTAACTGGATGTTGCAGGGAGGAAGTTGTTGGCCCCCATCCCTGCCCCCTGCCTTTCTTGCTGCCTCTTGAGTTTCCATTCGTTTCCTGCTGCTAGCCCCATGGTCGTATGGTAAAATGGATCAAAGAGCTGATCCAGCTGTAGGATCCCGACCTGGGAATGGACAAGGAAGGTGGAGGTTCATTTTCAGTCTATAATTAGTGCAGGGATGGCTGGAATAAGGGCCCCTAAATAGGGGGAGGACCAGTAAGGGTCTTCGTATTTCAGTAGCATCAACTTGTGATTAAGTTAACATTAACTGAAGGGTTAAACTACATGTGAGATTTCTATTTGGCAGGGAAAGGAGAAGTACACCCAGGAGAAGTGACAGGGATAACTCATCACTTCAGAATGAGTAACCGGGGAAAAGAAGAAAGAATTAGAACATATCAAGTATGAATGTCCCATCTCACTGTTCCTAAAACTGATATGTTGTAATTTAGGACATAATTGAAGTAAATATTTCAATCTTCATTATTTYGTAACTTAGCCTTTGATTTTGCTATATTTTATATGCTTCCTTGCATACTTGATTGCAGCCCAGGTTCTACCTTAGTGCTCACTTAGAGGGCACAGTGTAATAATGGGCATGGCTCTCCTTTAAAATAAGTGGCTGTAGGCTTATTCAGCATTAGTTAGTTAAAAATGTCACCGAAAAATAAATGCACCTTTCTAACAGGGTTGGGGAAGCCTCGGATATGTTCCAGCAGCTGCACCTCAATCATATCTTCAGTCACCTTTGAAATAAAACAAAGGTTAGAGTCACAGTTAAGTAAATCTATAGTAGGAAGGCTCTGTTTTTGAAAATAGAAAGTAATCCAGCAATTTTCCATAAAACAAAGTAACCTTGAATAAATGAGAATGACAATAGGTAATTACAGAGCCCAAACTATCCAGCTACGCAACATCTTGGCTATATAAGTTGAAGATGTAGAAAGCAGGTGGCTGCGCACAGCTGCCAAACACCATCTTAACCCCATCAGTAGTCAGTAAAAATGAATTGGAAAAGCAAGTTGCAGATGGCAGGGAAAGAGAAAACACATAAAAATTAACAGAAAGAGTATCTCCAGCAGGTTTGTCCTCCTGCAGCATAAAGCAATTTAGTGCAAACGTCTTGAGTATGTGTAGAGGAAATTGCTACTGCGAATGAAGGTAGTCTTGAGAGAGYTTGTTTCTTCATAAGACTTGTGGTAAAACAGCTACAAATGTGTGCTGTCATTATAAGCACAGATGTAATAGGAATGATGATAAGTAATGTTTATTATGAATGATAATTCCTTCCTAAATACAGGACAGTTTCTGATTCTGTGATGCAGAGAATCCCTTTCTAGCTTGACTCAATTCTGTGACAATTCTCTTTGTCTTTCTCTTCATAATTTGTTCCCCAAAAAGCTAATGTAGTAAAATCAATCTACTAAACCTGCTCAATTCCATTATCGCCTGKGGAAAAGGAGTTGGCTCTCATGTGGTGTGGCTGGTTTAGAGTTGCAGATATGCTGGTTACTCTGCTTACTGGTTGCTGGCTTTTCTACTGCCTGTAAGAACTGCACTGTAGCCCCTTTCCCCTGCAAGGGTCACAGATGTTGGCTGGTCGTTTTTAACTGACCGTAATTCTTAATGAAGGTGTAGGAAGGCCTCTTCCCATCAGTTAAATTCGTTTGAAATTGGCTACAGCCAAGCTGGCTTCTGGTCTGTTGTGTCCTGAAATCTGCCCCGTTTCATATCTGTGTCATGTGTCTATACCTATCTCATGCTGACAGCATTGAGCAAAGAAACACTTTGAAGAGCCACTTGCCTGTAGACTGCCAGTAGAGTTTCTCTCTTACCGTATAATGTTCCAAGATCGATGCTTTAGTAGTGACACAGCCGAAAAACCTGTGTGGTGCCATAGCACCAGTCTGAGAGGGAGTCTTGGCAGAGTGACTGGTAGTTTCTTGGTGAATCTGCAGTGGAGATGAMCAATAAAAATTGAGACACAGTCAGTTCTTGGAGAGCAAAAGTAGTGTTTGGAAGTTCTTCAGGGCAAGCTGATATGATCATTCAGCAGTGTCAATTCAGTGAAGTCCTCTTCCCCTTAAGGATGGGTCAAGTTTTATCTAAAGATAGGTTAAGATTAACGTAAGGTTGGATAAAGGCTTAAATAGGCCTAGTTTCATAATAGTTTATCCAGAAGAAAGGCTCTTGCAATGCTAGAGTTTATTTATAAGTGCCCCTTTTATTCTGCCATCACCTGTGCTGTGTGTGTGGTGCCCTTTCTGAAATCTGTCACTTGAAGTGACCATTTTCCCTCAGAAGTGGAGGAGGAGACAGGGGACAGCAGTAGTTTGATTTGTGAATGATTGTGGGGTAGTAAATCAAAAGCTGGCTTTGATCTGCCTGGGTGCTACCAGGTGCCCCGTGCCCTGGGTGTCCCTGCTGGAGCAGGGGGTTGGACTAGATGGTCTCTAGAGGTCCCTTCCAACYTCAACCATTCTGAGATTCCGTCATCAGTTCTTGGCTTTATCCCTCTTTAGGGTGGTGAGATATTGACACAGTTGGCACCATTGATAAAACAAGCACCTATGGTTTATAGCCTGGATTTTTTTTTATACTAGCCTTTAATTAATTGTTTTTCCTCTCAAATTGCAAGAGAACTTTAGCTTTTGGGTTTCACGGTCAGAAGTCTTTGCTTATAAAACATTTTATTTGCTACTTATGTTACTTAAGAGTCTCAAGGTTTTAAATGCATTCACACCTGAAATTAGAGATGTTTATTTATGCAATAATTTTTATTAGATATAATCATCGATTAAATGAAAAATAACATCAAGAAAGCCTAAGAAATTTATGAATGGATTTGAATTAGTTTGGCTTTATYTGGAAAAAATAAATTCAGCAAAGTCTGAATGGTGTAAACTGAAATACTACAAGTGTTTTAGCTAACTGGAGATGTAGGCTCTCTGGTCATTACTTTTAAAAGATGAAAAATATATTTGGACAAACTGGCTTTTTGCTGTAGTGAAAATTGCAGTGATCTGTAGTGATCTGCAATTTTAGTTTTTTCTATTTTTCTATTCAGATACTTTAAAAGAATATACACAGAATGCTAGTTTTATTTTTTATATTTTTTAGTATGTGCAAGCGTGCAGTTTGGTTGACATTTGGCTAAATGTTGCTCTTTCACATAGTGTGTGAATTTTTATTGTAAGGAACAGACAGGAAAATAACATAAGATGTGATGGAAGTTCTAGAGAGCTGTACTAAGTTCTAGAATAGAGGAGTTTTCTTCGCTCCTTGATTGCTTAATGTGACACTAATCTTTAAGCCCCTTTCAAAGGGCAGTAGGGGAGATTTTAAAATAAGTATATTTACAATGCCAGATTTCAGATTTTATTGCCTGCTTGGCTTTTGCCTTGATATTTTACAGAGGATTTAACAGGAAGTGGCAAGAGGCAGAGAAATGTAATCAGTTGGGCTATAACAGAGGAACAATGCAGTTAAGTACTTTCTTGGCAGTGTAGTGCTGTTCTACCCATTCAGCAAATGGAATTTATTTGTACATCTGTCAATAAATACAAGGTGGCATCCAGTAATGAGGCCAGCGGGGATTTAAGCTGGGGTGTTTTGCTATGTTTGTCACAAAGGTCAACTGTGGGAAAAGCTCTTGAAATTGCCATGCCTTGAAAATTATTTTTCAAGTCCATTGAAGTTATCTCTTAATTCCAGCAATTTTCTTTTTGATAAGCAGAGAGAACATACATTTTGATAATACRGAAGAGGGAGAAGGTGATGAAACTTCAAAAATTCCAACTGGCATTGCATTAGGCTGATAAGAATGGGACTTTGTGCAGCGCAGAGGAGATTACATGAAGCACAATTGGGAAGGAAATTGTATTTACAAAAGATGGGGTGATTTTCCTAATAGGTGTTCTGAACGGGCTACTCACTTGCATATTCTGCTGAGCTTGACTAGAAATAACTTCATTTCATAAAGGACAAATCTGATTGAATGTAAAAGCATTCCCCTCCTACAGATACTTGTCTAAAGGATCTGCATTAAATTTCCTTGATGGGAGCTCAGTAGTATTTATTTTGCATTTATATGAACTGGTAATGTGGAAAATAAAAATACAAAATAGTGCACTTGATTGCTTCATGCTTCAGCCACTTGAATTACTAGATTTATATCTGCARTTATGGAAGAGATGTTGCAATATGATAGTTGGACAATAACTGTCAGAATTATTATGAAAATACATATTCAACTTATTTTTGAAGCTATGGGTGATGAAATTACAAGTAAGGGAGCAGGCATATCTTCCTGTGTTTATTTTCTTGTTTTTTTATATAGACGAGRTGTATTTAAAGACCTCTACTACCTCTAAATGTTGTCAGGTATTAGCAGGATACAGAAATGGCACGGATCATGAAGTTTTCTGAGCTATTTACACGCATGTTTTGGTTTTGCAAAATACCTTGTCATAGTAGATTGTGAAATMTCAGTTACGATTTAGATTTCTGTGGTTTAAAATGTGTGCTGCTTCTGAATCCTTTCTGCTTTTTCGCTCTTTGTACAGATCCTGGAGTTAGTGAAGGGCATGCATTACCAGCTGGCCTGTCAGAAGTACTTCGAGTTGACACATGATGTAAGTACCTAGTAGTTTTTGTTGCAGTATAATCAGCGTCTTTGTCTTTAGGAAAGCCTTGGAAATCAGGAAKGAAATGCAGAGTTTGTTGGCAGTTTTAACACCCAGTATTAGCATTATCTATCCATTTAATTTTCACTTCAGTTATTTTAAATATACTTCAAATACTTTTATAATGACTTAAAAGTTTATATATTATTGTTAATATCTTGTGTCTTACAAGATGTGAATGGTTATGCTTGCTTCCTGAAAACATGAAGAGTATTCATTTTTTTCATTTAAGCTTTCAATATCTTGTTTTTAAACTKTTTAAAGTATAGTTTGAAATACAGTTAATATATGTTCCATGTAAAACTAAGTCAGTAGAAACAGTATTTAACCGAGAAGTCTGTGGAGATGAAAGTGAACACTAACCTGAAAATAAATCAGCACSTAAGAGTCTATTGCATTTTAAGAAAACTGTCTTTATTTTGTGGAAAATTCCAAAAGAATGTGCATTTTAAGTCTTGCGATAGTAGGAATATCTCTGTGCTGCTTACACAAATAAAATAAGTCTGCTTAGCAGCTGATGAGTCTCCTACTTCAGTGAGAAAATTTCTTTTTTTTTTTCCTATTCTTGTTCCAGTTTTATTCATTTCATTTGGAAATGAAACCATCATCAAACAGTACCTTCATGTTGAAGGTCGCCAAAATATTCCAAAGGCAAGAGGAGGCATTATGATTGCATCCTCTATCATTCAACTATAACTTTCAACTGTTCTGAAAAAACCTGCATAAATTACATGTAAATTTGATGTAATATTTATATYGCAGTCAGCTTTCCAAGGAACAAACCCAGTTCCTTTTAATAGCATAATAGCAGGCCTTCCTTTGTGAGCACCATGGTGATATTTTTGTTTATTTGTTTTGGAAGAATAAACAAGCTTATTAGATGAAGAGCTTTCTTAAGGTACTGCTGTCTCAAAGACTGTATGTCTTCAGTGTCTGCTCAGATGATAAACACCCAGGTAGTAAAAAGAGGTCAATCTGAGTGCATTTTCCTTGGTAGAAAAGTATGTTTTGCACAGTTGGGATGAGGCCACACCTGGAGTATTGAGTGCAGTTCTGGGCTCCCCAGTGCAAGAAGGATGTGGAGCTTCTAGAGAGGATCCAGCAGAGGGCAACCAAGATGATTAAGGGACTGAAGTATTAAGGGACTTCTAGATTTTAAGATAGTTAAGGGACTATCTTATGAGGAAAGACTGAGTGAGCTGGGCCTGTTTAACCTAGAGAAGAGAAGACTGAGGGGGTATCTGATCAATACGTACCTGAGGGGAGAATGTAGGTAGGATGGGGCCAAGCTCTTCTTAGTGGTGGCCAGCAACAGGACAAGGGGAAATGGGTCTGAGTTGAAACACAGGCAGTTCCATTTCCATGTGAGGAAGAACTTCTTTACTGTGAGAGTGACAGAGCCCTGGAACAGGCTGCCCAGGKAGGTTGTGGAGTCTCCATCTTTGGATGTGTCCAAACCCACCTGGATGCCACCTGTGCCATGTGCTTTAGGTGTCCCTGCTGGAGCAGGGGGACTGGACTAGATGATCTCTAGAGGTCCCTTCCAGTCTCACTAATTCTGTGATTCTGTGACTTACTGTTTTCTAAATCTTCTTGYGAAGACCCTCTCATATGAAGAGGGTCCTCACCAGTGGAGGACGTAGGAACACTGTCCACACCAGTAAACCTGCCTTCCATGAAAGAATGCTGTATGYTGAGGGGTTTCCCCTCCTATTGCTTGTTTTCAAGGTGGTGTGAATTACCCCAGACAACAGTGCTTTGAATTCTCTGTTTATTTTTTTCTGTAGTCTATTAAGTAATTGCAGTGAAGTCAGCTTATTTTACTGTATCATATTCAGCAGAAAGCAGTACAATGGCTTCAAAACTGYCAGAGGCAGAACCTCTTCCCTGGAATATTGGTCAAAGAGGAATAYGAGATGACACAGACAAGACCAACATCACCTGCCTTCAAGTATCTGCTGCTGAGCTGCTTATTACTAGTTTACATTTTATTTAGAAGAGAGCAGTAGTTGTATTCTTAGAGCATCTTCCGATTAGGGGGGCAGACTGAGGAAGTGATGCCAGACATGGCTTGCTCACCAGTTAGACAGGGCTGACACAAATGTTTACTGTAGCAGTGTGATTGCTCCTCATGGCTTTTCTGTGGTATCAGCTGCACTGTTGCCATCTGTCACTTCAAAAAGTTCTTGGTTAAAACCCAAATATACTACAGCTGCAAAATAATTGCTTCAGTTTCTTTCAAAACGACATTTGCTGTCACAGAAGTGTAAAACTAGCGTTGGTGTGAAGGTCAATATGTGCAAAATGTGTTGAATCCAAGAGAAGTCTGGCGATAGTATCATTTATTAGTTGCAATAGACGATTCGGTCTGAAGTGACAGGCTGTTCTACTTGAATCAGTAAGTGTTACAAGCTTAAGTTTCTGATTGTGCAGAAAATGCATTTTTCTTTGGACGTGGTGGGTTCCAGGTGAATTTACATGTGTGGATGGATAAAACTTAGAAATCTAGTTTCTCTGCTTCTGCTAGGCTAATTTTCGTATACTTAGACCAAATTAATAAAGCAACTTTTAGAATACTCTAACATTGTAAAACTTTTTTAAAGTAGCATGAGCTGTCTAACTGAAAAGAGCAAGGGCATTTGTATATGCTCCATCTCCATGTTTTGTGCTCCAGCCTGTGTTTATTGCTACAGCCAGAGCAGGTCCCCTTTCTCGTCAGGGGAATATTCACTGACCCTAGTTCAGAATCATGCACAACAGAATGAACTGATTCATCACAGTATCATAAATGATGGTTATCAGCAAAATTTGGTCTTTCCTCAGGATCTCCAAGATGGTAGAACAAATGGACAGAATTCTCTTCATGAAAACAGTGCTGCCCATACTTCATCCAGTGGAGTTTTTAGTGGTTAGAAACCACTGAATTAAAAGAAAATAAGTGGTGCATAGAATCACATTACACTTTTAACCAAAAAATCTGTGGTAGCTTTCAGCCAGATGCCTTCCGTCATTTCCGAAAGCGCTGCCGGAGGCTCCCTTTGAGCCACTTTGGCAGCTTGTTCTAGTTTGTTGGGAAGGGAGGAGTTCAGCACAAATATATAAGACTTAAAAAATGTTTCCTAAATTGGCCTAAGGAAATCTTTCTTAGAAGAAACTCTTTAGTTACCTCTATATTTTATCTAGAAAAAGAAAGAAAAACAAAATAAAAAAAAAACCACTTAAACAGAGTTTCTTCTAAGAAACTTAGTTTTTCATTAAGTTCTCATATAATGGAAATTAAAAATATGGATGAAGGCTATCTATGGAACTTAGATAAAATTGAAATGAAATTTGGTACATTTTTAATGTGCCTTTTTGTGGGGACACTCCCAAATTAGTGGTCTAAGACTGTCACTCATTTTTTAAGGTATTTTTCAATGGGGAGTCACATATTAATAATTGTTAATATTTTTCATGGCTGAACTAAATTGCTACATATGTAGCCGTGTTTTTGATAGAGATGAGATATACTGTGGTTATGTATTTAATCAGGATTCCCTTTAGAAAACACGGTGCTGCTGGTTCACAGTATTCACAAGTGCCTGAAACCTGCGCTGGTGGTTCTGGCGTGTTAAATGAGACACAGTCTGTGTCCTCAAGTGACATTCTGTGTGTACACACAGTCACTGTGCTTGAAACAGCCCCACCTTTCAGCAAAAAGGGAAAATAATCAGAATAGAAAACTACCAGAATAGGACCCTTAGTCCTCCTTCGTTTATTGTATACCAGGTTTGGGGATTTTTTACTGTTGTATAAAAGCAGTATTTTTCTCAAGTCCTTCTCCACTAGAAAGGAACAATAAATATACGTACATTTTGCTAGTTTTTGGTGTTATTCACCACTGGAAGAAAATGTATATATTTGTTTTGGTGTTGGTTGTGCATCCTGTAGAGTTTCAGGGTGCTGATCCCGGTCCTGGTAGAACAGAGATGACCTTGATCTTACTGGGCTTTTGAAATAAATACTGTAATCTAGTGTTTCTTTCATTTAATCTAGTGCTTCTTTCATTTTACCTGCAGATTGAAGACATTGGATTTTCCTTGAATCATCCTAATCAGTATTTTGCAGAAAGTCAAAGGTTATTGAGTGGTGGTAGAGAGGTAAAGAAAGAACCAACTCATTTGGGAAACTCTCAGCAAAGAAGCAGTGGTCAAGAAAGCATGAATTCAAATTCGACTCCAGTCTCTTCCAGTACAGCAACTGATGCAGAACTGGAGGGACTGGAGGAATATTTTGCTGAAGACTAAACAGCTTTGCAGATTTCTTTTTTCTTCTTTCCCTTCTCTGAACAAATTCTTCCTTATAATAAGGAATATGCATTTGGATACCCAGAAGACAGAAGCATTTAGTGCTTTGCATAGACTGATTAAAGAAGAATATAAAGATACTGAAGTTGTAAATGTATCCTTCTTTTTCTGCTGTAGAATACTGTTATATAGGGCATGTTGAAGAATAAGAATTAAAATTACTTCCTAAATATCAGATGCTTTTGCTCTTTTGATGGTGTTCAAAGTGTGTAATTTCTCTATGCCTTTTTAAATTACTTTTATCTGTTTCTTAATAAATAAAGTGCAAAATGAAAGTTTGTGGTATTTTCTGGTTAGCTGTATTGGTATGGTAAGTAGGAGTTCTTATTTCTGGTCAAAATTACTTGCTTCTGGAGCATCTGTCTCTCTCTGTTCGGTATGTGGGGAGCTGAGGAAAATCATTTTTCAACTTCAGGTTCCATGGCATTCAATTGAGGAAACCTGCTTTAATATCCAAAACAGAACATAAGTAAAATTAGACACCCATGTGTAAGAAAATAACGCAAAAAGCTGATACTCCACCAGGTGACTAATGTTGGAGGAACTAAAAAAATCATTCATTAATAATTCATTCATTCAATTTTAAAGTTTCCTCAATGTTTGAATGTGGTTGGAGCTTTCTGTATCCTGCTAAGCAAAACAGCAGCCCCCGTGAAGCTTGAGGCCATTTAAATTCCATCCACTGCCCAAAAGCCAGGGTCACCTGGCACTCAAATGACATCAAGTCTGGAAGCTGCCTCTGTGGATCAGGTGGAAGTTCAAGTAAAACTGATATTATTTTATTTTACYTTGTTGGAGTGCTCTTCTGGAATTTTCAGGACCTGTGCTTTATTTTACTACTACTTACTACTACTAAGAACCTTCTTTTCATATACTTCAAAGGAATTACATAAATCCAAAGGGAAGGAAGAAGAAAAAAATTATCTCGAAGGGTAGTTGTTCCACATCCAAGAATCAAGGAGTCCTCTGTACCTCTTGGCAGGATATCCTCTGTTGGTCAAGCTCTTGGCCATACCCTTCTTGTGTGGACCTCAAGGATGATTCTGTGGATGTGTTTGGCTCCGTGGATTGTGTTAATGCTCCAGGAACTTGACTATAGGGTTTTGCAAGTGGTAGCTGTCATCTAATTTTGAGTTRCTGAACACCTAAACTAGTGGTGCCCTATATCAAATTGAAGGTATGATTGCTGTGCATCTTCTTTTGTATGCAGCTGTGAAGACTTCTGCATGAGGTTTATGTTCCTAGCTAGAAGAGCAGTGTGAATTGTTTGGGATGCTGAATCCAGGTGCCGTGTTTCCCAACTAAGATCTGCAAATTGCAGTTTATGATGGAGTAGAAACATTTCTGTTACCCCATAATCCTACTAACACAGGCTGTGTCAGCTTCTGCATGAATAAAATCATTAGCATTTTCTTGTTCTTTCCATTTACTTTGAAATCTGTTAGGAGTGATCAGCTTGTTCAGCTCTGCTGTGCTGAATCGTTACATTAGCAGAATAAAATTATTTTTAGGAAGTCAAGCATGGAATTTTAAAAACCAGGCTCTACAGTATTACAGCAAAGGAGTATCAGCTAGTTCTGTTGAGTTAGAAATGCTAAAAGTATCAAACATAACAATATTTGACAAAACCTTGATCTTTCTCCTTCACTGGTTTAGATTATTTGTGTGAATTTGCCTCTGTTGATTGATGGTGCTACACGTTGCTTTGAACCATCCTGTTCCCTTTTATTGCTTGTCAGGTGGACACTCATAAAATATATAGTAGAAAAAACATACAGATTAGTGCACACAGAAGTAACTAGCAAAGGATTAAATTAATGCTTTTGCATTGTTGCTGTTGAATGCAATAGATGATGATATGTTTTCTTATTTAAAAAAAAAAAATGACCATGTAAATTCTTCATTGAGAGGAGAATTTATGTATTTGTATAAAAGAACAGAATCAGAGTCCTCCTTTTGAGTAGTCTGCCGCTGAAAAATTACTTGTTTTCTAGAAGAGTTCTAGTGGGAATRTAGTTAGAGGCTGAGATGTGATGCAGAGGATTGCTCTGTGGTGCCACTATGTCCATGTGCGTTTCAAGCAGTTTCTGCTATCAGAAAACGTTTCTGGAGGTTTAAAATGTTGTAGGTTTTCTGTTAAAGACTTTCTACCAACTTTGATATTATGCAAATTACACCTTAAAGGTTTGAGAGCCAGGGTTATTTCCCTGGGAATTTTTATCTTCCCAAGGAGGAAGCAGTTCAAACCTCACAGTTATGTTTCTACTTAGACATGTAGGCCAGCCAAGGACATTTGTTATGTATATTAAGCACAGACAAATGTTGCTGTAGCTTTCTCATTTCCACAGGGTTTTAGAGGTCATCCATTTGAACTCGCACAAAACCAGAACATCCTTAATGCTTAACAAAAAATAACCTTTATGGTGGCAGTGGAGCAAGACTGGAGAATTTTGAAAATGCAGACACTGATGGCAAAACTACTCAGAGCATTTTTCAAAGACAGTCACCCTGAAATCTCATCCCAGTTATTGYAGAATTTCATTTCAACTAGATGATGCTCCTCTATAAAACTTTTCCCTAGTCTCACTGAGGATAGACTTTATGCATTAAAGGGTCACGGGGTCCTATCCTTACGTGATGAGAGAAGGTGTCACTTGAGAGCTCTTCAAATCTTTTTTGCAGAGAGGCCAGTTGGTTTCATGTCAGTGACCCCAACTGGATTGTGTGATGCATAAAAATTCACTGCACTTTATTTTGCAAAACTTTTACTGTAAGGACTACAGCTGGTTTGATACCAGATTTTTCCAGTGTTTCTGAAGAGCATTCCAACAGCAGRTATAAAATGCTGCTTTATGTTCCCTGATGTAAGCTTTCTTGGGACACGGCTCCACCAGGTGAGCTCTGGCAGTGAAAGGTCTTTGGTTTCAAGTAGGCAGTGGGGTTTGGTCACCCAGCAGGAATGTGTATTTGGGTGCTGTGCATAATGGCATGAAAATGCCCTCTGGGACTCGAGGCAGTTGCTGTAGTCCATGCCACTTGCCTCCCTGCTTCTTACAGAGCACTGAATGTCAATTTTTGTTTTAAAAGGACTCAAAGAGTCCAAGTCCTTTCCTCTGAGGCTTGCAGCTTTATGTCCTTTTGGTGTATCTGTAAGTGCTATAGGTTTTGAGTGAAGCATGGTGGCTACATGTTTTTAGTGGTATGCATACCTCCTGAAACTGTTTTATAAAGGTTAGTAACCATTTTGTATTATTTCATGTACACTTTTTTAGATGTACAGCAGTGTAATCATTGCCTGATTTTTCTTCATCCATCAGTAGTAATGGGTCCATGTAACATTTTCCATGCTCAGGAAAGTTTCAGCTGTGTTGCAAGGACGTCAATCCACTGAAAGTTAAACTGTGCTTTTTTACCCCTGCCCTGTGCACACCAACACTGTTGGAGCAGGACAGAGGCAGTCTGGAGCTTTGGGACAAGTCTCTCTCTTAATGATGTTTTGGGCTTTCCCTGCCTTTCCTCTGTGTATCAGGACCTTCTACTGAATTGCAGCTGGGCAGATGCAAACAAGGTGTCTCTTATCTCAGTAATGCTTTCAAGTAGTTTCCATACCATGATACTTGTGAATTATTATTTTTTTAATACATATATATATAATATCATATTCTAAAATTATACTTTTCACGTATCTTAAAAAAAAAATCCATGGGAAAATCACAGAGCACTTTCAGGTCTCCCTCCCCCATTTCACAACCCAGTATCTCTGCTCTGTAACCAACATTATTTAAGTGAACTCTGCTGTGAGGGTTCCCTTTATTTTGCTGCCCTGTGTATTTCTCCTTCTCTTCCACATCGTACATGCTAAGGTAGGCAGTTTTTAGAACAGAATATTCTGAGATATCACTAATTTATGTTACCTCAGTAACCTGTGTTTGCCAATGTGCTTGCTSGTCACTGCCTTTCAGGTTGTACTTCATGTGAAGGAGTCCTCGGCCTTCAYAGTTCCTTTGCTGTCTGAAACCTTCTGTTTATCAGGAAATAATTCATGAATATGGGACATTAAAAATGACATGAGTAAGGCAGGGCTTGTTGTGCCAAATCCCCAATGTCCGTGTATTTTTTAAAGAACATTGCAGTTTATTCAGAATCAGAAATGTTTCATGGGAGGTCTTRCCAGTAAATAAATAAATAAATAAATTTGTGCAGAGTCACAGAACTTAAAAAGCTAATGTCAGAAAAAATCACGTTGGATGAGTTCGGAAGAAATGTTTTTACTCAACCTAAACTAATCAAAATGATGTATGTGATGGTCTGGTGTCCTTTTCAGAGCAGGTGATCCAGCTGGCCCCTTTGGCCTTTAAAAGTCCATGGCACTAAGATTTATTTTTATGTTTAATAGGAATCGAATTCTCCAAACCGAAGAGCATCCCTAGTTTTGAGACATTTGGCCTAGAGCTTTGGGCTAGAACATAGAGGCAAACTAARCAGAAAGACCTAATGAGTGAGAAATGTGCAGTTTACCTGCTCAAAGTTCAGGAGTTTGGAGCATCGGGGGCTCACCCAGCTACCGCGTTCAGAGATGTGGCTGCCTAGAGAAAAATACCAGAAAACCCTCTGAATGACTCAGCTGTCATCTCAAGGTATTAAACCATGTTCTCTAGGAAAAGAATAGCTGTAATTGCTACTGCTATGGGATTTTTTCTTTCTTTTTTGAATGCAGAAGAAAGMATCTGTGTCACTGAGCTGGAAAGGAGGTTAGGGTTTTCCTAGACCGTCTCTTTGTTAAATCAAGAGGAACTGTTGAATATAAGAATTTTACCTACAGCTGATTGAATTGTTCTCTTTATTTATAATGCTGTTAGTCCCAGATGGTGACTGAAAAAAAATCACTTTTCAGGATCTAATTTTAATGGAAACATTTTTAACAGTTCAGGGAACTTCTCATTGCATTTAAATATTCACCTATAATCCTTGCTTCTCTGAATTTACCCACATTGATAGCATATGATAAATGAGAAGTGCAAATATGAGTCAAGATGTGAATGTGGAAAGTAAATTGTATTATTAAAGCACATATTTCAGATCTTTTTTATTTGTAGGCTGTGTAATAGCAGTTGAATATGTTGGTAGTGCAGATACAGTAAGTTGATAAGTGCAAGCATCCACGAAACAGGATTGCAATACTCTGCTTGCTGCCTATTTCAACTCAGTATGCTGAGAAACGATCCTTGAAAAAATATTCCTCACTTTT